TACACAAGAGTATACATTAAAACTTATTCAAAGATTATTAATTTGAATCTCATTTCAATTATTTTAATTATCAAGATGTTTGGCTTAATATTTTTTACTTAAGATCAGTGGTACATTCTTGGTTTATTCTTTACAATCAAGCATGCGTTACAATTTTTTAAAATGATTTCAAAATTGGTTCGAATATTTTGGACTCGACAAAATGATTTTACCCAATTTTACTCGTCAATGGTTTGGACACTTAAAAAAAGAGGCAAAATCATTTTTAAAGCCTCAAAAAAATCTTTTATTTCAATTTGCTCACAATCTCAAAGTCTCGTGGATTTTCTATTAGGACTATCAAGTTATTTAAAATATAAGTTCCGAATTCAATGTCAAAAGAATAGTTAGAAGGCTCAAAGTTAAATGATGATCAAAATTTCACGAGACAAATTGTTGTCCTAAAGTTGTAAACTCATGGATTCAAAAACAAAAAAATATTGGTGTTCCAAAATTTTTAAAGAAAGAACTAGACAGGAACACCGATTTCTTGCTGAAAAATCAAAACTTATAGTTATGTTCAATCGGTACAAAACTCTAGAAGAATTACAATTGTTTCGAAAAAAAATGTTTCTTCTCTTAATCAGAATCAACAGATTATGCTCAAAACAACAAAGACATGTGCTTTGTGTTAGATAATATTGATTATTTGATTGAACAGAAAACTCAAAAAATTTCAAAATGAGTACATAGACCCAACTATTTAGATGAATATTGAAATTACCGGGTTCAAGGTTCAATACAAGTACTCTTTTAAATATGTTCGTCACAACAAAAGTTATTCCTACCAACTCTATCGACAATAAAAAATGAACAAAAATTCAAAAGTTATAACAGACAAAAAGAACAATGACAGATACTATTGCTTCATATATCGTCCTTCAAAATTTTCCAATTCAATTAAAGATGGTATCAAGTTCAAAACTTCCAGGAGTAAAATGTTTGAATGGTACTGAACTTTAACATGGTCACGATTTACTCGCAGAACTTCAAATTGTCTCTTAATGGTCACAGAACTTTCTGCTATTGCACCACCTACATCACTCACCAACTTCCGTTACCATTGAATCTGACGTGGCGGACGGAAAACACACGTGACAGGTGACGGCCGTTAAAAAATGACAACTCAGCGGAAACATTGTTTCATTACTCATCCAACTTACATTTTGTCACATTTCACCCATCGAACTTCAAAATACTTCCCAATGGTCACTCATCTTTGAAATGTTGCACTCTATTCATCATCCGCATATTTTTTCAATAAAGCGTCCCAATCATTTTTTTAGAAATATCAGATTGAAACCTATTTTTTTGCATAGCAAACGTTCGAATTAGAAAAATGATATTTCTAAAAGAATCATTGGGACGCTTTATTTAGTTTTAAAGAAGTTGATGGGGACGTGGAAGTCACGTTTCATATATGATGATTTTGGTGAGTTAAGTTTTGTTGAGTTGCAATTTTTTTTAACATTTGGAACTTATCACGTGGAATTTTTGTGCGAACATTAGGAACGAAGGGAACAAAATATACGGATGATGAATAGAGTGCAACATTTCAAAGAGGAGTGACCATTGGGAAGTATTTTTGAAGTTCGATGAGTGAACTCTGACAAAATGTAAGTTGGATGAGTAATGAAACAATGTTTCCGCTGAGTTGTCATTTTTTAACGGCCGTCACCTGTCACGTGTGTTTTCCGTCCGCCACGTCAGATTCAATGGTAACGGAATTTGGTGAGTGATGGATGTGGTGCAATAGCAGAAAGTTCAGTGACCATTAAGAGACAATTTGAAGTTCTATGAGTAAATCATGACCATGTTAAAGTCAATGCCATTCAAACATTTTACTCAAACTTCCAGTATGCTCGAAGTGTGTTTTAACGGGAAATAAAACTTTTAACGGGAGATAAAAACATTTTCAAGAAAGTTTTAGAATTATCTCTTCTTCGCTCCAATTTCTTCTCTTTCTTGTGCCCGATTGCCTCTGAATACCCATTTTCACAGGTTCTTTAGATACGGGTCCAACAAATTTTTCGATTTTTGTTCCATCTTTTGCTTAAAATTGATTTTTTGTTTTAGTCCAGATTTACATATTGTGCAATATTTCTATGATTGAACTCCTTTTCAGGCTTGAATGAGAAGAAAGATTTGATTTTTGGATAAGAGAGTTGATTATGAATGCTCTATGATGTGTTGTATGATGATGGCGATGAGTCTTTTGACCACTGAAAAGAGAAAATAAGAAAAAGTGAAAAGAGAGAAAATAAAAGATGCACCCTTTGAATCAGAGAATTGTTGCCTGTTGTTGTCATTGGAAAGCGATATAGGCAATTCAATTTTCCTTCTTTCTTTATCCTTTTTTCACCCTCATGTGCGCCAGTCGTGGGTCTTAACGTGCTTTCTTCAAAGTCTGTAAATTGTATTTTCAATAGTTGGGTAGTTTTGAACTGCTTGTGGGTTCGCCCAAGATGCCTATGTTTCAGCCTTCAAAGAGGGAAGGGCTTGACAGTGGCAGTGATGCGCATGTTCTAGATCTAGAAACTGCTGTGAAAAATGGAGTGTTGGGTGGAGGTGGAGTTGTGGGTATTGGTGGAGGGGTTGGAGAGAAGTTGGATCTGAAGAAACTGATTGAAGAGCTAAATCCATCTGAAGTTCCGTCAGTGTTCATTTGCCCCATTTCTCTCGAGACGATGCAAGACCCGGTTACCCTTTGTACCGGGCAAACCTATGAGAGGTCCAACATTCTCAAATGGTTTAATTTGGGGCATTATACTTGCCCTACTACCATGCAAGAGCTTTGGGATGATACGGTTACGCCTAACAGGACCCTTCACCATTTAATCTATACTTGGTTTTCGCAAAAGTATGTGCAAATGAAGAAGAGATCTGAAGATGCACATGGAAGGGCATCAGAGCTAATTGATACACTGAAGAAGGTAAAGGGCCAAACTAGAATCCAAGCCCTCAAGGAGCTGCAACAAGTTGCGGCTTCTCATTCGACTGCTAGGAAGGCAGTGGTTGATGAAGGTGGGGTGGCTCTTCTGTCGTCTTTGCTTGGTCCGTTTACTTCCTATGCTGTAGGTTCAGAAGCTATAGCCATTCTTGTGAACTTATCTCTAAGTCCTGAATCAAAAATGAATTTGATGCAACCTGCAAAGGTGTCATCAATTATAGATATTTTGAAAGAAGGATCCATTGAAACAAAAGTAAATTGTGTTAAGTTGATTGAAACATTGATGGAGGGGAAAGGTTTTCGAACAGAAATTGTTTCAAGCCATAGCTTGTTGGTTGCTTTGATGAGGCTGGTGAGGGATAAGAAACACCCTAATGGACATTTGCCTGGGCTTGGTCTTCTAAAATCGATTTGCGTACATAAGCAACTTAGGAGTTTGATTGTGAGTGTTGGAGCTATTCCTCAGTTGGTGGAATTGTTATCTGGATTGAATCCGGAATGTTTGGAAATAGCCCTTTTCATTTTGGATATCTTGTCCTCTGTGCCTGAAGGGAGACAAGCTTTGAAGGATTGTTCACACACTATACCTAGTATGGTCAAACTACTTATGAGAATTTCAGAAAGCTGTACAAAATATGCACTTTCAATCTTATTGTCCATATGCAAACTCTCCCCCGACGAATGCTCGTTAATAGCTGTTGATGGGGGTGTTGCAGCGAAGCTCCTTCTTGTCATCCAGAGTGGTTGCAGTCCTGTTCTGAAGCAGCAGGCTGCTGAGCTTTTGAAGCTCTGTAGTCTGAATTATTCGGATACTATCTTCATTTCAAAGTGCAAACTGACCAGAACGATCCAATGAGAACTGAATCATGGTTCTCTTGTGCACTTCACACTTTGAGGGTTCGACACAAATATGGTGTGGAGGTCCAAGTCTATTGATTACTTCTAGCTGATTCTGACATACGTGGAGATCTGTATTGTATGTAAGCATGCCTTGTGCTGAAGTTCTCCAATAAGCACTTGAAATAGGAGATGGTTTAAAAACCTCGCTCCCAAAAAGGTTTCGTTTGTAAAGGTATAAAGAAATAGTGCAAATTGACTGCGTATAATGGAGCTTGCAATAGCAATTGTAATTGGTCAGCAGTTGTTTTGCTCCATGAATCTCTTTTAATTCTCCGATTCTTAGGGATTCAAGATCCTCCAATTTTCCTTGGCAACTTTGTAGAAGTTTTGTATTGGCCTTACAGTGCGTAGAATTTAGTGAAAAACTAGATATCCATTCAATATGTACAGGCAATCACAGATTTTCTGTTCATTGTCCTTTTTCTGTATATTATCTGATCCTATGCATGGTTCTTTCTGTATATTATCCAGTTGCATTCTCGCACGAATCACTCTTAAGTGAGCCACTATGCTATTTTTGGAATACACCCCTCCAAAATTTTACTTATGTAGATGCACATGAGAAATTTGTCGTCGACAAGCAAGGTACAAACTGTAAGAACTTTTTCTTGTACCTTGATGGTCTTGAAATTTTTCAGTCTCCTCAGTTGCGTTAGTTAACAAGTTTTATTGAATAATTCTTCATTTCTTGTTCTTGGCGATGTTAAATCTTGAAGCTTCGACTACAGAGGAAAAACTCTCCAGTATTATAAACTGTATATTATTCCATTCGAAGGTATGAATGAGGAATTTTATGTTAGTTCATTCTAGTTGACCATGCCTAGGTGTGAAACGATAAACAATAAACATAGAAGGGATTCTCATTGGTTTCCAGATTCAAATAAAAGCATACATACAAGTAAAAAAGTCAACAGATATTAGATACAAGAATGCCCCAAGTAAAGCCCACTTTGCCCCCATCTCCTCCTGCCCTTCCAGGCTCATTCCTGTAATACAAGAAGAGCCAAATTAACAACTTAACATTAATCCAACAAGAAATCTTTCCAAATTTAGTCGAGAGTTTTCTACCTGAAAAATTATATTTAGACATTTGGGTCGATGAGTTCCCCATTCAAGTACTCTCTATAGGCAGCAACGGGCCAGATGAAGCCTCTCCAGATAAGCCTGTTGGCCAATGGAACGTCGATGATGATCTCCTTCTGGGTTGGCTTCTTGTCGTCCCTGATGGCGATCAAGTAGCTCCTACCTACCCACCCAATCCATCCGGCAATGTACAAGAACAGAATCCCTGGAGTTATGAATTCACCCCAGTGTCTCTGGTCCCCGCTCACTATCAAGTGAGGCAAACCATCAGATCCACACAACAGACCTTGCTTGCCATAATTCTCAAACCTGCATCGTAATCACAAATTTGGGATTCATTTGTCAGCTCATTTTTAGGCTTAGGAATTTGATCTTATGTAAATTTTAATAACTGCAGCATATTAAAATGGAATTGATCCAAGACATTCCTAAATGACTAATACGAATCAGCACTTTCATAGGTGATAGCAAGATTTGCTCTCAAGCTCAAGCTTTTAGAGAGTTGCATATCTTTTTTTAAAGTTTTATCTTCAACACCGATTGCATCAACTAAAAGTACATCAAGATCAAATAATTACTTGTAGTTTATCCACAACAAAACTTGAAAGAATTGATTACCGTCGCTTTGTCTTCTCCATAGTGGCCTTGATGGCAAGAGCAGGAGCACTGTCAGGAGCATAAAGCTTCAAGGAAGACTCGAGCTTCTTGAGCTCCTGTTTCTCACGCTTGGCAAACTGCTTAGACTCCTTGCACGGCGTCAATCCCGATATGTCGGCCGACGCTGGTAGCACTGGTGCCGATAACAGAATGGACGATAGCGCAATCGCAGCAGAAAAGGCCTTAAGCGATTGCTCTGAACTTGAATCAGATGATGTACTCTGGTTAGGAGAATTAGCTTGGAAAATAATGGTTGCAGCCCTTTTTTTAGTGCCCAATTTTGGTAAGGAAATGGGTTTTGAAAGGTTTGAAGGAATTGTGAGTGACATTTTTTGAGTAGAGAAAGATCGGAACTGAAGAGAGGTTTGGATGGAGAAGTGTGGACTGATGATTTTTAGATTATGGGAGTAGTGGGTGTGAGAGAGGATAAGGTGTGGTGAAAGAGTAACAGGTGCTGAGGTGGATGGTTGTGATTGGTTAAGAGTTTTGATTTAGATTCTCCCTTTCAGTCTATCCATGAAGGAACCACAAACAGAGGATATCAGATATACGCACAGCACAGGTTCGTTACGCGTTTAAGATAATTAAGAAAATATCAAATAAAGACCCGAGAGAACATAAAATTTCACAATCTAAGGAAATAGAGTTCTTCAAATATTTACACATCTCTGAAATGAATTTTTGTTCATTAGATAATGTGATAACGTCTCATTTGAACCATATTGCTTGTACAAAAAATGTCAATTCGTTCTTTCGTTATCAATTTTTACTTTACCATATGAATCATGACAATCAAATATAACTTCAATTGTCACAATCCAATAGAAAATTAAAAATGAGGAAACAGTACACACCATAAACAAAAACCTCGCAAGGAATTCATATTCAATCAAATTAATTAGGCTTCTTGTATAATGTACTAATTTAACGAAAGCGAAATTAAAAATGTGTAAATATACTTACCGATTCCAAGTGATGATTGTAAATAATATTTTCTTATTAGCGTTTGATAAATTTATCCGTTTTCAAGTTTGACGAAGATGAAAAATGAAACATTTTTTTATCCGTGTTAGTTAAATAAAGTGATTTGATTTTGAAATTTTAAGTAGAAAGTGTTTGGAATTCTTTATAACTTAAAAATGGTATTATTGTCTTTAAACAGTACCATATTTTTGTAATTGTATAACATGTTTAAGGGTAGTTTTATCTTTTACGCATTGGAAGGTTATTGTGGTGAATGTTTAAAAAATCTAGTCAAGTGAAAAATGATAATGTTGACTTGGCCAATTTAAAAATTCATATTATTGCGATGGAGAATTGTATCTTGATTTCGTCAATTCATCCATCATTCTCGTATAGTGTACCTTTTCAAAATTAAGGATGATGAAATAATTTACTATATGTGTTGACTCCAAAAAATGAACTCAACAGATATCGGGCCCACCCTTGCCACGTCAAGTAATGATCCGACGCGTTTCTACCGAAACAGGAGCGGTAGTATGGTTGAATGGAACGCGGGAGATGCTTTCTGGCAAGAGACACAACTGTTCAAGTTCCGATGATTTGATTTAAACGGCTCTTGCGCTATCTACAAGAGCTCGATCGATTTCCCTAAAATGAATATCTGTGTTGTAATAAAATATGTGGAAGGATAGATAAAAGACAGTGTTTTGTAATGTGTTATGATTTCAATATAAGTTGTATTATTCAAGATCAAGCAAAGCAAAGTGCATGAATATGTTCTTTTGTGATTTTTCATCCCTCCATTCTATACAATGAGGGGCTTATTTATACTAATCTAGCTGACGTGGTGACCGTTAGATCAGATCCACATGGCGACACCCCCTAGACTGAAGCCTCACATCAATGTCCAATCTTTACAATTATTGTTTTGCAGAAGATCCCCCGTTCTACTTTGTAGACTGACTTACTGATACATATTAATGCTATAGACACTTTATGACAGATGTCACGTCAATCAGTTCTGAGAGATCTTCGAATCTGCTATGAGGAAACGTCTGCGTTAAGTTTCAGTACTTCGGTCTTAAGGAGCCTCTGCATTCGCATGAAGGAGCTTCGGACTTAGGAGCCTCTGCTTTTCGGCGAAGGAGCTTCGGACTTAGGAGCCTTTTGTTGACCATGCCTGTGTTGGCTCTCCCATTGACTTTTCAATTGGCTTTTTGTCCACCTGGCTAAAGGGAATACATGACTGTCCACGCGGACTGTTGACCTAGAGCTTCCAATTCTGGGGGGTAACAGGCAGGATTGTCAATTTTGAAATGAAGGATGAGAATCTGCTGAAAACCTCCGTGTTGTTGTCTACCTTTTAGATCTACCAAGGAATTAACAGCCCAAACCAACAAGTATTGACAAGATAATTAAAGTGATGAGAGAGAGAGGGAGCTAAGGAAACTGGCAAAGGTCGATTAGTGCTAAGGCCCTGTTTGACACGACACTCATTCTTATTATCATTGTTTTCTCTTTCATTATTTCAACCACGCATTCTTCAAATAAAATAATATTACACACAAATTTAAATTTTTTTCATCACTTTTCAACTACACATTCTTTCATCCATCACTATTCCAGAATTTATTTTTTCCCCAAAATGAATGTCAAACACAAGCTAAGATGAGACTTCGAATAACGGTGGACTTAACCTTAAGTTACCAGATTTCAATAAGTACCAAACGTTCCCTTTACAAGTTTATCGATGTTTGACAGCATCATATTTGAAATTCATATATCTAACACACAGTTTACGGGGAACGTTTTACTAACCCGTAAGATAGTATTTATTTAGGAGCAAGCACAAATGAAATAGAATAACGACTCTTGTGGCCCTCCCAATTTAATTGGCTCATTGTGCGTCGATTACTCAGCAGCATGATTACATCCGCTAGCGCACACAAAAGATCCATCTTCTTCTTATATTCTCATACGCAGTATGGGAATAGTTTTGTTGAGTTGGCTTAAAAACTGCCAATTCAAGAATGGATTTTCCAAAAATAATGAAATTTAAGAGGAGAGACACGAATAATGCAGGCCAATTTCCATCAAAATAGATTGTCGTTGCAAATGATGAAATCTGATTAACACAAGTAAATAAGGTACAATGTGGATCTAAACCCGAAAAAGGAAAATCCGAGAATCCAACCAAATACCAAACTGAAAGGGAGAAAACGAAAAAACACGATAATCCTACCAAAAACCTTCAACAGCTCCCTAACAATCTGCAGGTTGATCAGCTTCAGCATCCGGAGTGTCAACAATTGCCTGCTCAGCTTCCTGCACCTCTTTCTCAGTCTTCTTACCTTTCTTACACTTATAATACACACTCATGAAGGTACCCACAGCTCCATACTTCTTCCTGCAATGCTCATAAAGACCAGCATCGAACATTCTCCAGAAACTCTTTTCATTAAGCTCGGACACAGCATATTGTGGCTGGAACCCATGGTTTTCAATCAACCAGTTCTCCATTCGACGCACTGCGTCGGATCCATCAAACACCTCGCCCCTCAAGACAGGTCCAGGAGCATAGTAGACTCCAACATCAGTATACATCTGAGCATACTGTGTATCACCCTGCCGCCTCTGGAGCTCAAATCCTGGTTCGGGATACACCATAGTTTTCGCGGGGAGCTTATATAGTCTGTGTGGACATAGCCAGATGGGATATATCTAGAGAAACACACAATTGTTAGCATAATTGAAATTGGAAGCTCGAGCATGAAGATATAGGCAAAACAACAGATTAAGGATTTGCAAATTTTACAATTTAGAAACAGACGAGAATATAATACCTCCATCTCACGGTCGACCCACTCCAGAGCATCTCCAACCTTGTAAAGGGGAACAAGCATATCTTGAATGACGTGCATCTCATGGTAATAGTTCCTGATAGCTTCACCTTGAGTAGCCTTGAGAAGAGAAACCTTGGGGGGCATCAACCACCCAAAAAGAAACCTGAACCACCATTGATCAGCAAATGGAAGGATGAGCTTCCCTTCCCAGTATAAGCATCTTGTATGCCTGTGGTAATATTCTCTGGTGGGAATATACTCCACAAATTCCCCCTTTTTCAATGCAGTATGTGCATGCTGGTAGAACCAGGGTTTGAACCACCAACCAACACTGTTGATTTTATTACCCTCCTTTTTGGCTTCTTCTTTTGAAGCGTATCTTCCCGTCATACAAACTGCTTCTGTCGGAGTGTAAATCATAGTTTCGACAAAGTCTGGTACCTTTTCAGGATTGTCCTGATCTCCATCCCTTGGAGCAAAAGAATCCACATATGCTTGAGCAAGCTCCTTCAGGTTACCCACTACAGGCTTGTATGTGAGTCTCATGTATTCCTTGACAGGTATAAGCTTAATCTCGGCTGCAACAAGGAGTCCCAATGTCCCTTGAGACCAGGGGATAGCATAGAAAAGATCAGAATACTCATTGTCCTTCGTAGCTCTAACCAACTTCCCATCTGCCAAAACAATTTCATAGGCCACAACAGTATCAGAGAACAAGCCATAAATATGGGAGCTTCCTTCAATACCATAGCCATTGATTAGACCACCAACAGTAAGATCATCGAGTTCAGCAACAACTGCAAGGGAAAGATTCATTGGGACAGTGACCCTGCTTATCTGACCCATGTTGACCAAAGGCTCAACTCTGGCAATCATTCTCTCCTTGTCAACATTGAGAACATTTCTAAAGGCAGAAAGATCAACTTCAAAATGACGAGCACGCTTATAGTCCACATTACGCATTCCTACAGCAATCCAGGGTTTACGGGCCGTGCAGACCAGCCCATCCTTTTTTGGGTCCCGCTCCTTGAGGCGTTTTACAACTTTCTTAACATTTTCATCATGCTCCTTCTGGCGTTGCTTAAAGGATTTGCACTCGGATCTCACATCTCCGAGATATGTAAGGAAGTACAAAGTGAAGGAAATGGGAAGAACAACAAAGATAACAATAATCCATCGGAATTGAACAAAGTAGTCTACCCAAATCTTCTTCCTCTTTGGGCGCAGGGGGGCCTCAAGATCTGACATGTTGGAAAATGAAGAGGCCTGAGAAGGAAAAGACGAAAAATTGTAGAAACTTTAGCCAACCTCATATTGTTGGAAAATGAAGAGGCCTGAGATAGAAAAGACGAAACATTGTAGAAACTTTAGCCAACCTCATATTGTCAATGATAAAAAAAAATTTAAGGTTGATACATAAAGAAGTAATGCAACAAAATATTGAAGTTATTCAACATATGTTAAGTCAAATACAAACACCATTCTTGTGGGGAAAAAGCCAGTCCTGAGTACCATCTTCTATATATTAAAAGTGGCTATGTAACGGAATTTCTTGTTTTTAACGGAAAAACTAACGGAATTTGTTATTTTAACGGACTATGTAACGGAATTTCTTGTTTTAAACAGCCAGCTGCACCTTCCTTCAGTGTTTTTATCATAAATTTGTATTCCGATGTCCGATTAAGGCGATTCAAAATGCGTTGGAAAGCTAACTCATCTAGCTACAACTTTAATTCAGACATCATTCTCCAATTCGATCACTTTCTATGCCAAAAATAGGTCTCAATATGAGACTAAAATATCG